CCAACTCCTGAGACTGAGACTGCGGTAGTTCCACCAAACATGCAGTAACAAAATGGGACTTCGCAATGACCACATCAATGTGCATGACTGTATTCACTTGTATGTTATAGGAAGTCCAAGGCAGCTGCAGAACCTAAACATAGAATTTGAGGAAGTGGGTGATAAAAGATTGTCTGATCATAACAAGTAATGAGGGTGTGAGGAAATTGAGCTCAGGACCAGGAACTGCTTAATGACATGGGATTTAAGTGATTTTTTCTGTACATTAAACATGCCATTGAAAGACTTTTGATCATTCACTGACTTAATTGACAAAATGTTGACAGGTAAACAAATAAACACCACAGGTTGTTGTGGGAGGCAAGTGTTGGGACAACAGTAACAACAACTACTGTACATGTGAAAAACTCCACATGAAAATAATTTAGGGTGCCATATTTTAAGGGGTGAAAAAAAGCCGTTTTTTGTTCATTTTGGACACATTACTAGAAGTCACAGCTCACAGCCAGAAAGATGCAATCTTTGGTACAAGAGCAAACTGGACAGCACAATGATGCAGGTTGAAATTCAGTAAGAAAAACTGATGTGGCACAAACATCTTTCAGACCTACTCGCTTAAATACAATACTCTTTTCAATGTACACACTTGCATAAACATTTAAAAAGACCAGAGAAATTGCGGTGTTTTTTTTTTCTTTTTCTTTTGGAAAGCCCATTATTTTGCTCCAGACCTGCATCTCAGAAGTACTTGTGGAAACAAAACAAGAACATGCTACAGTAAACAAATTTATTCTGGCGCGGACACCTCACGTCATGTAACACATAGATGGAAACCCAGAGACGCAATAAATTATCTTCATTTTTAAGCGTAACCAGTGACATACTGTACATCAAAAAGGTAAAAGCACTGTAAATAAAAAAAGAAAAGAAAAGTCTACAAAAAAGGTTGAAAGTGAAACGGAACCCTTATACAGAAATGCTTAAGAAACAAATGTTTGAATGCCAGCAGACACAGATACAAATTAATATCTTAAGTGTGATTCCTTTTTGATTTTAGTGTCTCACGACATAATTTAAGTAGGCTACTGCTCAAAACAAATAAAAAATAAAACACTGTACACGCACCAAAGAAAGCAAACCAGAGGGATCTTTTTTTTCTTTTTTTTCATTTCATTGATTTCATTTTTTAGGAAATCATTGCTTTGCAATTTATGCTTCATCACAGTTCTCTCCCATATGACCACATGAATGTAAACACCTGTTGAATTATTCTTTTTTAAATTTTTACAACATTAATACTTTATATATATATTTGTACATATTTCCATTCACATCTGCACGGTTAGCTAGCATGGTAATGAAATAAGGCAAGACTCACATAACTGTGACATCACAAATCTTTTTTTTTTTTTCTCTTATAATACTGATTATTAAGGTTTTTGTAATTTCCTTCTTCTGTTCTGCAGCAGGCTTTGGTCTTTCCGGACAAAGGCAGGGTCGATCCTCCTCTGTCTCCAGAATCACACTTTGTTTTTGTTCCAGTTGTAATGAAATAATAAAAAGGGAGGTTGTTTTTTGCAGGAAAAAAGGGCTATAAATACAATTGTTTCAGCTGACATTATTAATTGAATTTATTTAACACTGGTCTTTCTGAGGTACATAGTTTAAAATGATTCAGGGAGGTGGAATAAGAAAGGGAAACCACAAGGTGACCATGAGAAGCAAATGACTTCCATTACAAGAGAAAAAAAACATCTTATTTTTCTTCTTATTGGCCTATTTATCATTTTGTTCATCAAAGAATGTTCCTTTTTTAGACCTTCATTTTTTAACCGTCAGTTCTACCTTTTCAGTCAGGTCAAGCTGCCTTGGCAGGTGTCTTATGTGAGTTCAAAAAACAGACATGACAGTAGGTAAGAGTCTCTGGCCTGTCTGACTGCTTGTCCGTTTGTCTTTACAGTACCAACGACAGCTAAAAGCCGGTTTCAGTGAGAGAGCACGCCGGAGGATCGTCGACCAAAATAAGCCACCGCTCTAGTCACAAAGCTGAAAGATGGCCGGTGTTTCTCAGCTTCCTTCCTCAGCACAAAAAGCCTCTCACAGTGTCACCAGCACTAAAACACTCAAGGGTTGTTAATTCTTTAAGTTGCAGCCCGCCAGTCTTGGTAGTCTGTGCTAGCGCAGATGATTACATCCCATCACGAAGTGTCAAATGCAGTGTTCGTTTCAAGTGTTTTGCTTTTTTCCTTTCAGTATTGTCTTTGTGTGGTTGAGGAGAAGTGGCTCTTCTTTCAGACTTTTTTTTTTTTTTAGAATAAAGGGATCCATATGTTCTTGGTGTGTGCACATGACACTGTCAAGTCTGAGCTAGAGGTTCAGTTTGGTGAAAGCATTATTTGGAGTTTCTGGGCTGCAGCAAAACTCTCAGGATGTCTGCACAGCTGCACTGTGGGTAGCGCAGTCCCCTCCTAAGCTCTCTTGGCATGTAGCATTTCAATGAGAAGGTTGTTGCAGGGAACGTCGCCGTTCAGGTGTTTGTAGTAAAGGTATTCTTCGGCCTGCAGGCTGATGGCTCGGATCTCCGGCAGCCGGAGAAGCAGCTGGCCAAACTTGTCCGTTTGCTGCGGGTAGTTACACATGACGTAGTCCAGCAGCGCTGCATTCACCTGCTCCTGGACGCTTTCTACCAGGTGGAAGTTCTCCAGGTTCTTCACATCTACAACAAGAAGCGGAAAAAAGGTTAGATCAGACAACACTGGAACAATCTCTGTGGGGGCTGAGAAGCATAAGAACAAACTAATGAAAATAATAATAACCTGTTAGGGTTATATTGACTGCAGAAAGGTAATTGTGTGCACCACCACACTAAAAATCATGTTTATTAAAATGAATTTCTTTGCTCAGTTAATGTTCTAGCAAACATTTGAATATCACCTGCCTTTATGTCTCATGTTATGTCAAATTACAACTCAGAAACTATTACTCAAGACAGTTTTAAAGTGCCACAGTATCCTCAATTTGTAGATAAATAAAGGGGCCATAATGGTTCCTATAAGAAAAAGACAAAATGGTTAGAATGATGGGTATTCTCATTTATCAGGGGACAGTGCTACAACTTGACATCTTTGGTTGTGACTTATTTTTTTACTTTAAAGAGCACTTCAAACTGCACCGCATGACGAAATAGCCCCACTACTCTCCTTCCTTTCTCCTCTGAATCGTCTCTTGAGACTGCAATGTAGAGGGAATCGGGTAAAAAGGTTCTCCTCCAGAGAGATTCATTCCCCAGGAGTCCATGAATTATGTAGGGCAGAGTTACAGTCATATTAGCGCCAGAGTTGCTCCTTAACCTAATGCCTTCACCATCTTTTTATATCATAACAAAACAGAATGTGTTGTAATTGTAAATGATTTTTTTTTTTTTTTTTTAAGCATTAGTCTTGAAAAACTACAGGGTGCAATAAAAGCGCAGGAATTCTTCTTGGTAGGAAGTGTTTTTTTTTTATCTTACTATTAATTCCTTGTGCAAAATACATTTTGCATCTTTCCAAAATCCTACCTTTACGCACAGCTATAAGCACTTTTCCTTGACAATAATAAGCTCACTGGGGGTTTGAGTAGATTATTGCAAGACAAGACAAAAATTTGCTAAATGGATAATGGTGGACCAGAGCGCTGTGTGTACTTGTCATGATTATGAAGCGCAGGGCTGCAGAATATTTAATCAGATAGCAGTGCTGTGTGTGTGTATGAGTGAGTGTGTGTGTGATCTTTTATTAATCTGTTTGACCTCAGGTCGAGTGTGCTCACAGCGGGCTAATGTGGAATGACAGAGTCCCTGTGTCTAGTTGACACCTCCAGACCAGTACACACTAAAATATACCATCTTTTGTGCCAGATCTCTGGCTTTCTCTCAGACACACACGCGTGCACACACACATACGCTGACAATAATCCATGGAAATACACATAATATTTCTTTCTCTCACAGTATCCCGTTCCCACACACACACTCACACATACACCCCATCTACCCACCCAAAGCATTAGGAGGAAGGAGGGGGAGATAAATCAGCAGCTAATGAGGTCTAGAGAATGAGAAGCAGGTCCTTCAAGGCACTTCCATCTATGATGCACTCTACCATGCTATTACAATCTGTATGTGTGTGTGTATATGTGTGTGTGTCTGTGTCTGTCTTTTCTTGTGTTGTCTGTGTATGTATGAGCTGGTGTGTAGCGTGTGCATGCTCACCCTGACCTCTGGGTGACACGGCGGGGGGCTAAATAAGGCCAAGAGGAGGGCAGGAAAGGGGGAGGTATGTGGCCTGTGACAAAGGAGGCTCCAAACAAACATGACATGTGCTTTTTCCTGCTGCCACTCAGCTGTCTGACCCCCTATCGCACTCCTGAACCTCCTTTCACACTACCAACACCTCCGAGAAGCACTAATATGGCCTTACATAAGCTACCCCAATAGTAGAGTATGGGCTTTAGGCTTTAACACACAGACGTCCTACGCAGGTCAACAAGAGAAACAGACTTGTTTTCATCTGCACAATAAACAAAAACATGGAAAGAGGAGTGTCTGAGTTGCTGAGAGAGTCTTAAATATGTGGAGAACGGCTTTATGCTTATTACTGATGAAGGCTGTAGCCAGGACTTCAGATTTCCACAACCCTCCACTGAACTTACCCTTGTCTCAAATCTTTCAGTTCTAAAAGTTGGCATTAAAGGCTTGATCAGGCTCATTGACTTATCAAATACTTTCTGATATACATCAGAAAACTTTTCAGACTGTATACTGTATTAGGTTTATGCAAAGTGGGCAGTTTGATATATTTTGTTGAAAAAAACAAATAATACATGTTTATATTCCCCAAAGTAAGGTTTTGTGTGGGTCAGAAATCAATGCCCAGCTGTAGATCTTCATTAAATTCATTTTTGTTGGCCTAAAGGTTGCAAAATTTAAGTAAATTGAGTCTAAACATACTGGAGACGTTTTGAATTGTAGAACATGAACTCTTTTCAGGTTGTTAAAATCCCCAACTTCCCAGAAAAAATACAGAAGACATGACCTCAGTGTCCTGAGTGGTAGCTACAGCCCCTCATACTGTACAACCACTGAATATTGGACATAGATAAAAGGCAAAAAATCTTCATATTACAGGCCAAACAAAAAGTCTGAAAATTGATTAGATTGTGTAAATTTAGAATATGAAACTGGAATATTCTGTCTACCACATATTTTTAGGTACAGAAGCGATTTAATCTGTAAATGTTTTAATATAATGTGTTCTCTGCAGTATCAACATCTCATGCTGCTAAATAATCACTTCAGGGATGTCAGAGGCTCTTCTGAGTTTGATTTGGTTAATTCTGCAACAACATGACAAGGTGAGCCCAGATCACAGCAAAAACATGTGAGGTGTTGCCATGGTTTCTCAGAAAGATTTGTTTGTGTGTCTGCATGAATGTGTATGCATGTGGAGTGAGGTTTGATGGGTGTATGTGTGGATTCTTTTTTTTAGGGGGGGTTACAATGAATTAGTACCCAATGTCTCTCTCAAGCTAATTAGGGGAAAGTGAGGCAAAAAGACAGCATTTTAATTGCTAATTATTATCAGAGCCCCTTTTGAAAAAATAATGAATGAGGGCTTCCAAAAAAAAAATTAAAAGCACAAATGACAATAGTTAGAAATCTACTCCTGTTTGTAAAACCAGTGGGCAAGTGAATAACCAGACCAAAAACACAGGTTGATGAGACATGTTTCTTAATTTTGTCTAATTTTGTTTAATCAAATCAGACAAGTGGATTGATTATAATTTACTGATCATTCAAAAGCAGGAGAGGTGATGGAGTAAAAAGGGTTAGGGGTGAAATAAATATAAAACAAAAACAAAAAAATCAACAATTAATCAATGATTCCCAGACAGCGTCAGGTCAGAGCATTAAGTGTGCTAAGCGCTCTCTCCTCTTCCCTCAATGCCCACCCCCCATCCCCCATCCTCCC